GTGTGTTTTCTTTCTCCTGTATTTATTTAAAAAAAAACTAAAAATAAAACTGGGATTTAATAAAAAATAAATAAAAATGTCATCCTTCCCTTTCGTGGCTTGTAAATATCTGGTCTGCAACCTTCCTTGACGTCAGCAAGAACTGAAATAGTCCAGTTTGATCCCTCTGGGACATTTTAAACAAATTTTAAAGAAAATGGGGAAAAATCTTTTCAAACCTGTGCTAGTTTTTAGGTTTTGTTTAAACTCTACTCCCTTTTAAAAATCCAGATGTTTTATAATTATTTGTGCTGTTATTTTATGTAACTTATGTTCTGTGCACAGCTGTCTCAATAAATGTGCATAAAATACAACTGAATTGGACTTTATGAGTCATTACATTTATTTGTTTTGTTTGTTACTTACTTTACAGAGTTTTGTTATTTTTATTTTTTTGTTGTTGTTGTTGTGTGGATGTGATAAAGCTGCATATTGTTTCTGTAAAATTAGATGTTTCGTTGCTGTTTAGTAAACAACTTAAAAAAAAACCTTCATTTACGTTTTATTTGAATGATCTGACTTCATGCTAGTATGGGAATAAATATTAATATTATTGATAATGTAAATAAAATGAAACTTTTGCTATTTTAGCAGTTGAACAAGCATTTTATTTGGGGCATCAGTTAAAGGTCCAGCTCACCTCTACCAGTCGACTCTGGTACCAAGCCTCCTCGAAGCCTCGGTTCCGGTTCGGGGACCTGTCGGCCCTGAAAGCCCACAGCCCGTTCAGCTCCTTCAGCTCCCTGGAGGAGGACTCCCGGGGAAAGAGCATGCCGGTGTCCAACAGGAGCACGGCCTCACAGGCAGCGAGGAGACACAGAACACGGAGCATCCCGACCGTTTCAGCCGCTCGCGCCTTCTGCGACGTCCCAAGAAGCGCGGCAGCCTTTTAAAAACCCTTTGTTTTGGTCACGTGACCACTTATGTCACTTTTCATGTTGCCTTCAGGTATTATCGGACATTTCTAAATGAGACCTAAATCACGACCTACTTGTAAACCCACAGTATAAAGATAGAGGGAAACACTGAATTGTTAAATCAATAAATGCTGAGAACAATTAAAAGATAACTTATTTAATGTTTTTTTTTTATGACAGTTCTGCTAAATTTACATGCATGATAGTAGCAGGCACATTTATAGCACAGGATTAAGGCCACGTGGCACGTGCAGACTTTTTGCCCTGAATTTTGACTTTAATTTCAGAATTCTGAGATGAATAAAAAATAACAGGGAAAAAGTCAGAATTGAGGAATATATATATATATATATATATATATATATATATATTTTTTTTTT